CCAGCCAAGAAGGAGAAGGAAGGCCAATTCGCTACTATACTGTACATGCGACCGTATAGCTTGATGTACTTCAACTTCACTCACAGAAAAAAAAAAAAAAAAAAAGGAAAAAAAAAATTAGAATAAAATAAATTAACGCCTTGCAAATGCAAAACTAAGAAGATCTGAGAAATGCATGACTTTCCACAGATGAAATGCTTTTATATGAATTTCAACATTTTAAAGTCAGCTTGGTTTCAGGCCATGTGCAGCTCTACTGCAAAACTGTACAAAATACTTTTTTTGTTACAAACTCAAACTCCATCAGTCAGCGTGAAGAAAAATTAACAATTTTCTTTTTTTTTTCTTTTCTTTTTTTTTTTTTTTTGCAGAGTTTGAGATGACTGATTGAAGTCTTTGTTGGATTTAGAAGAATAACAGTTTCTGCAACTTAAGTGATGGAATTGCTGAAAGACCGACAGCCAGGACTCAAAACACACAGCTCAAGAGTGTCACCATGTGGAGACGTGTGGACATGACAGAAGAGTAACTGAGCAGCGCCGCTTTACCTCAGAATGCAGCTCAGGAAGAGCAGTCATATTTTCATTTCTTCTACGACCCCTTCCTTAGTTTTTTTTTAAAATTTTTTTATATATATATATATTTCTTTTCCAATTAAATTTCATGTCAACTGCTTTACATTAAGCCTTCAGCCTCCCTCTTTACCTCACCTCCACCATATCAATTCCAAGACGTAGCTCTTCCAAAGACCCTTTTCAGTAAGGCTCTGGGAAAAAGTGTTTGAAGACCTCCCTGACATTTAGACTCTCTCTGAAGATGACTTTGCCTTCTACTATAGCCTGCGGGAACATAGTAAGACCCACACTAAACTTCAATTGATATGCAGTACCAGATTCCTCTAGGGGAAATTATCATTCTGTTCATAATAAGAGCCACAACAAGCACCTGGAAAATGACTTTATTATACACTCCGCTTCAATAAAAGTTTCCTATGACCCATTGGAAACACACACATGGCGCGCGCGGAGCATAATCGTGATGAAATGAAAACTATATTATGCATATGATAGAATGCTTATTTGATGGTGGGCTGTGCAAGGAAGCACATCTGCTCGGATGTGCTTGATTGGCAGGTGTGTTAATGCAGCGCTGTAGCCTTGGATGGAGGTGCTCTGAGACCCCTTTTTCCTGAAGCCATTATCCAAATATGTTCTGTTTTTCAAACAAATGAATGGCACAAAAATCAAAGTATCAAAAATGTATTGCCCTTCATAATGGAATTCCCTCTGAGCAAGGACAAGTAACAATGGGCCATTCTCAGCTTCCTGTCCTTTCCCTCTCTATATGCCAATGGATGTGACCTCCACAGCTTTAACAATGGGGCATCCAGCAGCATAAGCACTTGGCTTCTCGCCACCAGCCACTATGTGCAGTAAGGTTGCTTTCATCCTTGTTGTTATATTTAAGGATGACATCCTAGCCTGTCGGCCTCTACCATTGTCTTCGCCGTGATTATTTTCTACCGTTGTTTAGCCCCAGTTGTGGCTCTTTGATGAAAAGGTCGCCACTCAATTGGAAAACAGTCATTAAAATGCGGTGGGTACTATTCACCAGTGTTCATGGGGGAACCAACTCAACTGAGCTGGTTAATCAAAAGTTAATTATATAATTTTCATGCAGATGAGGGAAACATTCAAATGAATCCCAACTCTACAATCATTACAAAAAATAAATAAAGAAATAATTCTAAAATGCTATAAAATGTTCAGGGACCAGGAGGCTGTAAACAATATGAAGTTTAATTTGAGGTAAACAAAGTGAATATCCACCAGGGGGTCTGGGAAGGAGAAAGTGAGGTTAAATCAAATTTGGAAACATAGATACCAGCAGGTTTTGTTGTCCTGATATACGTGCAATTAGGCAGGTCCTTGATGAGGACACTGGGAGAGAGAAAGTTGGCTTTCATAGCAAATGCTCTGGGATTATTTAAAGGGAATTTATGGGATTTTATACTTTATCTGTAAACATTAATTATTCTCACACAAGTATACCAAATTGAATTAAAACCATATTTTAGGAAATGTTATAAAAGCATAATTGTCTTATATGAGCATGTTGCAAAATTATTGGAAACTCCATAAAGATAACTTTAAACCCTCAGTAAATCAATTCAAGGAAGTCTCATGGTGATTTTCAAAAGAAAATGCACCGGACAACATCTTCTTCAGTAACTTTATCAAAGAAGGTAAAGTAGACTATAGCACTTTTCAAAAAATTCTTTCCTCATCAAAGGAGATGATTGTGTTATGCAAATTACAACCATGAATATTAAACCAACGACGTGAAGTATCACAAATGAACAAGCATTGTTCTGGAAGTGCAATGGAATGTGGTTTAATTTCTCTTTAAATCTATGTGCTTTTATAATGTTCACCTTTTCCCAGTTGTGCCAGCGGGTTTGGGTTCATTGGTGTGCATTACAACCACGCTCTAACAATGCGGGGCCTCCCCAGTGTCAGCACAGTTCATGAATCCTGGCCCCTTATGCACCAGGCGATTAGTATGGTGCTCCGTCTGTGGGGCTTTGCCAGAAAATGAGTTCTCTTTAAAACATATGCCCCCTGCTGATTCTTTTCCTTTCCTGATATGAAATTCCAATTTTTATAATGAACACCAATTTCCTGTACAGAGAGAGAGAGAGAGAGAGAAAGGAGGAGGGGTGGGGGGTGGGGGGGTAAAAAAAAGTTCTGCACTTTGTCTGTTTTGGATGACTGCAGTTATCCTAAATTAGCGGAAAGCTGCTGTGGACATCACAAGCAGAAAATATTTAGATGAGTGTCTTTCATTTTGGGGGGCTAATCAACATTCAGGTACGAGCACAAAAATCAGCTGGTGTAATTTTCCACATCGCATATGCACATGACTGGTGTGGCAGAAAATGGAATTACCAAAACTGTAACAAATTCAATTAAGTCATTGATTTCTAATAAATTGGCTTAATCACCAGCTGTTGTCATGCTAAGATTGTTGTGTCACAAGTTTGTCATGCTTGTCGGTCGTGGCTGCTTTACAAAGGCAATTTAATCGATTTAAAGTCTTTAAAACAGTATTTTACACTTAAAAGGCCTCATTTTAGTTCTAATGACCGGATCTGGAGGAGGAGACGCCGCTTTCTGAAAATCAGATTGAACAAAAGATTTGATAATTTCATCAGATTTCAAAAACTTTATTACAATTTTACATGAATTTAAATGTTACAGACATATAATTAATATCCGTGCAATAAATGTGATGATTTGTTGAAGGCAGCATGACTGCTGCTGATGATGATGATGATGATGATGATGTAAATACAGTCTGTGTTTATTTCCTTTTTTTTTTCGTAGCTCTTCAATTATTAGGGAACCTTTTCTTTCGGTCGAAATGACTGGAATCGTCATTAATCTGAGGAAATTAAATCTCAGTTAGCAGTTTGATCTGCCGCTTGAATATTTAATCCAACAAGTATTTAAATTTTCATTTATATATATGATATCAAACAAGTCTGAGCAAATTAGCAATACATCTGCCAACATTCAAGAAAGATAGAATTAAGCATGCACATATTCGTAATGCAAAAAGGGAAAAATAAAAACAGTCATTGAGCAGTTTGTATATTGTCATTGCTGCTTTGGAGCACAGTTGCACACAGTGGTGTAGTGTACATTAATATTGTACAATTGAAGTAGACATTGGTGATAAATTATGTATAATAAGCACTTACTACATTGTATGGTCTAAGTCTCTCTTGGGTTTGGGCACTCGCCTCTTCAGGAAGAGACACCACTCCTCCTGTACCCATCATCTAAATACAATAAAAGACATTGTAGAAGATAAAACCATGACTGATGTGAAAACTGAACCCAACATAACATTTACAGCATTGTAAAAAAAAGCAGTCAGGCTAAATTGGCCAGTTTTATAGAGGTATTTCTGTTAAATATCGTTTTAAATTTCATAAAAGACGCCACATTTCCTGAAACTGTAGACTCATCCACATTAAAAAAGTAAAAAAAAAAAAGAAAATAGAAAAAAAGAAATCACTTACCCTGATGGTTGCCTCCAGCTCTCCCACACTTCTCTTTCCACCTGGTAGCCATCCATAGGACCAGTGCTGGGACAGGGTGACCTGAACCACCAACGCCAACAACAACACCTGCACCGTCACTCTGCTGCCTGCCTCCATTAGAGCTGCAGAGGAGGCCAAGTTTGTAATAAAAACAATAATGTCACAGTCTCCTCACTCACACGGCTCCACGGCTCGCGGACCGGGGGTTATAAAGCATCACCCAACATTAGGAAACAACATTTCAGACAGTAATTAATAAGAAGAGTAATTCTAACTTAATGAACATTGAACAAACTTCACTGAGGACTGACTCACCTCTGCGTTTGCCTTGTTAGCATGTGGTGCATTAGCTGGAGGGGGGTTTTATAGGTGCTGGACAAATGCTGTCAGGATTATAATCCCCACAATGCAGGTGTGACACATTTACTGACTAATGGGACACAAAATACTACTAATGGAGCTGGCTAAGTGCTCAGACATACTGACATCACCATGAGGGTTCAAGCAGCATGATATACAGTATATATATATATAAATAAACAAAAATGATAAATGTGACATGTTTCCTGCACGCCACAAAGAACCTTTCAGTCCAGCGTGCATAAAAAGAACTTGTCAAAGCGAGCGTGGAGGAAGCACCGACAAAGCACGTCACAAGGTATATATGACAGCCAAAAGACAGAAAGAAAGTAAAAGTATAAGCCGACTGAAACGAAC